AACCATTCATGCAGTTAATGACCTGAGTACTTCAAGTCCTGTGCAAAAACGCATGATCGCACTGGCTCGCCTGGTGCGTTCCAGCCTGGGCTTCTCTTCCATTTACATTTTAGTATTTTTTTTTTTTTGAATTATATCTACTAGATGAGCCAGTAGAAGTTTGCACCAGTAGAGCTGTGCGGTGTTTCATTGCTCTGCTATCACGCAGCAGCCGAAGGATGACGAAATGTCCATCGAAAGCCGTTGCTCTTTGTATTCACCATGATAAGATGTCCACGCCCGATTTGGTCAAGCGCTTCGAGCCACCTTGGTCCATAAATAGCAGAACAGGGATAAGGTTACCTGATATCAAATTTGTTGAGTTTCAGAGCTGCTGCAAACTTCTGATTCTCGATAAGTAAGCGTAAATCTGCTTGAAGATCCGCCGCACTCATTAATACTTGTCGTTTTCGGCGTCCTTCACTTATATGCGTCAGTATGCGACCTACAACAGAAAAGGAGCATTCTTTCTGCAGTTCTGGTTCATCTGTAGGGAATTAAAATCAGAAGCAGTATATATAACTGATGTGAATCCGTCTTACAGAAGAGCACGTATTGCATAGAGCAATGTATTTGCGCAAAAAAAAAGAGAAGTACAAACTTTTCAGGTCAATTGAGCCGACACCATGAGATAACTGAAACTCGGGCACTTGATGTGGCAGAAGTAGAAATGAAGAGGTTCGGTTTGGATAGCGATTAGCTATTTCAGGTATTAGTGTACCCAGACACAGCGACGATATGAAGGTGTCATTTGCGGTCGCAGTACTACCGCAACTCGTTCGGACCATTGACTTGTATTCCAGTGGCAGTACCGTTTCGTCAATCTATTTGTTACATACAGTTATGGTTAGCTGCGCCAATAACAACTTTTTTGAATGCACTTTTTGAAACTACGAAAATGCAGAAACAGTTACTGATAAAATATTACTTGTGCGTCTTCAACAGTCTCTTCGTAACAGCAATAAGAACAACATTTGTTACTATTATTATTACATTAGTAATAATAACATTAATAATAATAATGATAGCAACAGTAAAATTCAGCAAGTGCACATAGCTTATGCAAGTGTCTAAAAATATTTCTCGATCTCCCACATCTTGCCTATAAACGCGTAAAACTGCGTTTCCACAAAAGCGTATTAAGGTCCTGTGACAATTATAAGTGCGTACCGTAATTGAAGGGAGAGGTGGAAGTAGAGGAAAAATGGGAATAATGTGGCGCAAGCTGAGACCGTGGTGGTGTAAAAAAGTGTGTTGGCGCTTCAGTCTTCCAACTCAAAAGGTGCAAAATTTGCAGTGGGCTGCATGGATACTGTTGCAGTAAAACGTGCTGTGCGGAGTGCGTCAATTTGTTCAGTTCACTTGCAGAGCAGTGTTAAGATATAATTATGAACAAACTTATTTTGAGAAAAAACTGCATTTAAACTCGGAACAAACACTTGCCTCAACAATCATACGATCGTCCTCATAGGCATGGTACAGGAGAGAGTTGAAAAGGTACTGCGACCCATAGAAGTGCAGCATTCTGGAGGAGTCGTTTCCAGTTCGCATTGGAGGTGGATTGAAGGGAGTTGGACGAGAATCGCCTTTGTATCTGATTTCACCTCCAAATCACAGTTTTATCATTTAATCTGGTGTGTTAATCGCTTTTGGTTTTGTTAGAAAAAACTTTGGAATTAAATTTAACCACAGTTTCTCGCACACATAAATCACTGGAATAGCAGTGCTTGGTCCACCGTTTCAGAGCTCGGTGTTGCCCCAATCGCATTTACATCAAATTGTGCTTTGAATTCGATTACAAATATAGATTCGCAATTTTTTTATTGTTTTGCACAGGACTAGTGCGCAGGCGGGTAACCTCATTTTTCACAGTTCCTGGTAGAGAAGGAAATGGAAAGAACCTTTTTGTTGTGTTTCGAAATATTCCGGTGTAATGATTGGATCGGCGATGTTACGATTATCGACGTACAAGCCCTTGATGAATCGACGAAGAAGTTTTTCTATCACCAAATTATCAACAGTATCGATTGTACGGAATGGATCACTCAGATCAGTGTATGCTAACCGCTAGGAAATCGAGAAATTACTACTTTTTTCTTTACAGTAAAAATTTCTTTGAACTTTAATTCGTAAGTTTCGAAAACGCACATAGTCGTGAAAAAATTTGTATTGCAATAGGATTTTTTAAAAGCTACCAGCTATTTTTTATGCTTTTCCGCATGAATAACTTGAATAAAGGTGTGTCTTAGTAATAGCATACCTGCATTTGTCTCTCTAATAACATTATTTTGGCTGAAAGACTGTGTGGGCGGAAGCTAAGTGTCTCTGCATTTTGATCGAGCCTCAGAGCAAACTCAATGTACAGATTAACTGCTTTATCTAACTGTTGAATCTGCAGATACAAATGAAATGCTGTGAATTACAAAGTAGTTTGGTTCTCATTTCTTTGAAATCACGGCTTGACAAATCAAGCAGTGGTTCACAAAGAGCAATTCGCAACAACGTTGCGAGTGTGATCACGAACTTTCGTGTGTTTCCATGAAACAGCAAAATCGCTAAAAGTACGAGTGGTCAGTGCTTTAGAGTTTGATATGTGCAAATCTTGTTGATCCTTCCCTACATGCGCAGGGAAAGCGGAGCCAACTAAGGCAGTAGCATTGCATTGTGTTGCCTCGTAAAACTTCAGCTTTCTGCGGGGGATGATGCCGACAGACAGCTTTACAACCTCGAAATTTCCGTATCTTAGGCAGACGTTGGATTACTTGGACAACATGGGTTTTTTACTTTGCATCAATTATGCAAAAATTCATAAAAGCGCAGTAAGTTTAGCGAATACCCGAAAAAGACGTGGTGAACTGCTTTCTATAATGTTCTGCAAACTGTTGCAAAAAACAATCGGAACTTTTTGCCTTATGACTTCATTTATTTGAGCCTGAAAATTGTGCTTTTCTGGATTTAGAAATATGGCGATTAAAACACGAGAAAGGCTTTGAGATTTTTTACTTTTTAAATTGTAAAATTTCAGAAAAATTTATCATCAGACTATCAAGAATGAATAAAGACATGCTGCGCTTAACAACAACGTAATAAAATCTGAAATGCCGCAACCTCAATCGTTTGGACGAAACTGTTCAACGGGCCATCAGCACTGATAAAGAAATGACTGTATTCGACGACAGTGAAACAATCAATCACCTAAAAAAAGCGTTTTTTCATCTATCTTGTTTACGGAATTATTTTCGAGAGAAACTGAGAAACCTTGACTTGCATTAGTCCATCCGGTGCCGTTTTAAACTGAGTTCTCAACCGAACGGTCATCCGCCGTATGTCGCCGGTTACCGAACCGCTCACCGGTAGCAGCGCAACGATACCCGTAAATCGACCGGCTAACCTGAATTAGCGTAGCATTCATTATGCTCAGGTGCTGATGCATTTACAAAGGTTCACCGTTACGCCTTTTATCGACTTTTGCCAGACATTCCACAGGAAGTTTGCTAAGAACAGAAAAGTTCTGTAAAGGATTGTTCACAGAAACTGCTTCTGATTTGTCTGTAACTTCACCGATGGGGTTAAAAACCGGCGCATGCGGACCAAAACATCTGCGCAGCCACGTGTTTTTGTGGTACTTTTCGGAGAGGGTTCAATTCTTTCTCGATTCTCAGTGACGGTGAATATGGTGCATAAAATTGGCCGTTGAAATAAATTCGTATTTCTTGGATAGATATATGACGAAGAAATACAAAAAATCTACCAAAAAAAGTAGAAACTAAAGTTAATGCGGTGTGATTTAATCATGAGCTGAAATGAGCTTGATCGCTAAATTTTTCTAGATGAAGATTGAACAGCAGAGAGCGAAAGCGGATTTAGCAGTAAATCTGTTTTCGTAGCAGAAGACAGAGAAGTTATGAAAGGACGAGAACTGGCGTAGCGTGAAATGCCTTACGTGATGTCTATTCCACTGGTCTGAAGAATTAGATAGGCAGGTGGCACAAATTCCAGTGAGGTATACTGAGGTGGTGAATAACGCAAGACTCGAATATCGGATAGCTGCACATCCCCCGTTACACCTAAACAGATTGTACAGAAAATCGTGCAAGTGTGCTTGAGCAACTCTGAGAACGAGGCCAGTGTTACACAACGAGCTTACCGCGTTCTGAAAAAGAATGTTGCATCTTAAATCCGCTCAGTCTGGGGATTTCCTCGTTCAGAATCTTTATACCCACGGATTTTATATGCTCCGCACCTCGTCTGGTCAGTCGGATTTTCACACCCGGCCAGCCTGCAAATGCTTTTAGTATGCAGTGGTGAGAGTAGTGCTGGCTTAACTGGTGCTTTAGTGCACCTGTCTTCATCACCTCTTTGCTCAGATGACTTCTTTGAATTCAAGCTGTGCCAGCGCACTAATGTTTCTGTTGAAGAAAGAATCAAAGCATGCGTGGGCCAATCAAGCCAGTCCCCTTCAGCAAAAAGCGAAACTTTACATCACTTTCAAACAGCACATTTCCCGTTCAAATTTACATCATCCTATAAGACCTAGATTTATGCATTTTTGCAGTTAAATGAATGAGAAAGCATTAATGCGAAGCCATCTCTGTGTATACTTGTCCGTGTGTCTTCGTAATTCAACTGCAAAAAAATAAATTTTTGAAGACATCATCTCAAAGACAAGAAATCAACCCACGACTTTTTTCTGCATCACGCTCTGGATCTCAAGCCCAAATCCAGGCTGATTTTATAAGCCGAAAATCAAGGAAGCTGAAAATTGGGGACTTGAGTGCTCAATTCTTTTAATGATCCCGAGCAAATAATTTGATTTCGGTTTCCGGTTTCCACTGGGACCTAATCTGCGACTTCATATTTAAGTTCAGGTCAGTTTCAAAGGCTGTAGCTTGTAAGTCTTGAATAATTTATTCTTTCTGTCACTAAAGACTGGTGCGTCGAATTAAGTTTCAATCCTCAGTTTACCTCTGACTACGACCTCAAGACCAAGTTCAGGGTAGCTTTATAACTTGATAACTGGAAAAGCTAAAACCTAAAAATTTGACTGATTAGTTCGCCAAGTATTTAAAAGTAAATATGCTAAAATCATCTTAAGCTATACTGTATCCTGAATTGAAATCTCAGACTCGAGTTGACACTATTTCGTAACTCACGACCAGAACAAACAGCGGATGAGAATTTCCTTAGATTTAACCACCATATAGCTCGACGCAAATAACATGTAATTACACCTCAAACTTTACGCGTCCTCACTTTCCAGTTTCAAGACCACATTCTTACTGGTTTTGTGTTTTCTAACCTTTGAGCCCAGCAGTTTCCAACTATGGCAACCTAAATTTTCAGCCGTCTAATTTTTATTCTTTGAAAGTTTAATCCAAAAAAGCAAACTCACACGCACACGACATACGCATCAACGAGCAGTTACGTAGGTGCCCGAAGAAGAGTGAATGCATTACACGATAATAAGTAAACAAAGATTACCGGGCGCATTGTTCCATTTGGACGGTTTTCGAAAGACAACACGTCCCTGTGA